TTGAACCGCGGTCCCTGTGCTTTGTTAAGCTTGTTCTAAGTAGGTGCTTTAGACCACTGAGCCATCTCACCAGCCCCTGAAATTTCTTTCAAAATGAGGCAAGTTTTGTGTTTGCTGGATGTTCGATGTTTTATTCAGAAGAGATGTTGCAGAATAAAAGGCCCCACATCACAAAATGGCAAAATACAGCACACAGAATTCTGAATGGACTTTGGATATGTTGAGTGTCTAAGCTAAATTTTGCACCTATTTTACTCTCCGTGGCAATGTTACGTGTGCAAAGTTAAAACAACAATGGTGATGATATAAAGCTATCTGATAGAAAGAAACCAGTCATAAACATGCTGGAGCCTATCACAGTTATAGAAAAATGTTTTTGATATTGAGGACTCACAGCCATGAGGGAGCAGGTACCTCAAGTTTAAAAACCAAAGACCATGCAGAGTTAACATTCAGTGCCATGTTAACTTACCCACTTAAAAACTGAAAAGCGTGGTCAAAAGTTTTTTTGTGCCTTGCAGCTCTAAGTGTCTCAACTGGACCTATCTTTGTGGCCTTGGCTGGTCATGACCAATCTGACCGAGCATGAATCTGTCATCTTCAAAGATGTTGCTGCACAAGTTATACTATGTCCTGTCTGTGGTTATACTGAAACATCTTGCAAATATTCAAAATTCTGGATGTTGAGACATTTGGCAGGTGATTAGAATAAGAAATTTTGAACCTATATTATATGTCCATAAGTGCTAAAGAGAAAAATAAGGAAAGGGGAGAGAGAAGAGAGCTGTGGGCAGGAGTTGCCATTTATATGGGGTGGCCAGGGAAGGACTCTTGGAGCTGAGACCTGAAGAAGGAAAAGCAAACTAGGCAGTGTGGGGAGGGTGTTTCTGGTAGGAGAAAGGCAGGTGCGAGTGTCCTGGGGTTGGAATCGCCTGGCCTTGGGCCACTGAGCTAGAAGTGAGTGGAACAGAATCCTGCAGACAGCTAACATCTCGAGTGCACCCTGGGTTGGCACTGTAGACTTCAGAATCCAAGAGGAGATGTCCCGTTTTTCACAGTTTACAAATGGAAGAACGGGCACAGAGGTGTTAAAATTCTCCCATGGGGCTGTTGTAGCCCGGTGGTGGAGCCCTTGGACCATGCCCGTGGCCCTGCGGGTAATCTGCAGCACCACAACAAGAAAAAAATGCCCTCGTCTGTAAGCAGCAGAAGCAGGATTCAAACCCAGCCAACTTTGTGTTCTTAGCCACTGCGTCTTGCTCTTTTGAAGCAAAAGGCCTCAGAAGGTGGTGCAGCTGGCTACGTGATTCTAGCTCGGAGCTTCTGGTCTCTGGCTTGTGGTCTAGACCTGGTCTGCAGGGTGAAAGTGTGCTGGTACACTGGGCGCTCGCCTGCCATATTTGCAGGCCTCTTTCTGTGGACGAGGTAATCTGTGCCCTCACTTAGCAAGTACGGATCAAGTATCGCTGTGCTAGGCTTGATTGAAGCCCCGGGCACACTGGTGAACGAGGCAGACTAAAGTACCTGCCGTCTGGAAGCTTCTGTCCTAGATAGAGGAGGCAGCTACAAGTCTCTGGTGGTGACAGGCACCTTTCTTTTTTTTTTTTTTTTTTTTTTTTTGCGGTACCAGGGACTGAACTCAGGACCCTGTGCTTGCCAGGCAAGCGCCTATTCTGCTGAGCTATCTCCCCAGCCCCTTGACAAGTACTTTGAAGAAAGATAAAATGGGGTAAGGAGGAGAATGCACTACTGATAAATCATGCCAAAGGCCCTGCGATTGAGGAGGTGGTGTCTGAACGGAGACGTCGATGAATGATGGGGGAGTGCGCCATGAGCACTGGGCAAGAGCAGGCCAGGCAGAAGGGAACGCGAAGGGCATGCGGGCAGAAATGTTATTGTCATGCTTGGGGTAAAGCAGAGAAGCCAGTGACAGCGAGGGGAGATGGCCAGAGGGAATGAGGAGATAGCACATCACACAGCGTTTCGTGGGCCTTGGTAAACATTGTACCTTTTTCCTCTGTTCAGAATGGAAGCCACTAGGGGCTGTCTGAGAACAGACTGTAGCAGGGAGGGTAGAAGCAGAGTTGAGTTGGGCGGTAACTGGTAGCTCAGAGGAGCGATGGAGCCTAGACGAGGCTGGTGGCAGGATGTAGGAGCTGAGGGCTTCATAGTTTAAGGACCCAGTATCTCTCTTGGCCTGGTTCCATACTCAACATCAGCCTCTAGATGGAAGCCTTCGAGAGTGTTCCAACCTGCAGCCCTAAGAAGCCAGGCCAGCTTTCATTTTCATTTTACAAGGTTAAGAAAATGAGCTTTAGATTTCTAGGTAAGTGGTCCTGGAGCATCAGTCTGTGGGCCTCAAAGATGGGATGATTTTCCCCCTGGTTCTGTCACTGAGGAACTCTGCAGCCAGCCAAGGTGCAAGCTGTAAGCTTTGTATGACCCAGCCCGGGGAGTCCTGTGGCGTCACTGCTGCCCATCCTTATTGGTAGGAACCGTCACAAGCTCTGCCCAGACCGTAAGGGGAGGCACCAGAGCCCTGCCTCTCAGTGGAAGGGTTCTGAAGAGCACACAGGACTGGAAATGCTTTGTGGCGCCTCAGTACCCTCTGGGGATTACAGACGCTACCCTCCTGTGAACGGGCTGGCCATACAGAGCAGTTGTGCAGCGCTTGCTTAGCTGAATGAGGCTCTGGTTTAATGCCCGGTACCAGGGAGGGTGGTTCTAGAACCGACTCAGGCTGCAGTACAGAATAAGTCAGTAATGCACTATAAATCCTTTCTGGAAGGCTGCTCCCCAGATGTCCGTGTCACGCTGCTGATTCCCCTGGGAATCCCTTTCCTGGCCTCTTGGTGCGGATACCGGCCTGCCCACCTCTGTAGCATCCCTTTTCTTCTGGGGCATTTTATTCTCCTTGTAATGCTCTCTCTCTGAGCATATTCTACAATCCTTTGCTCATTTGTTGATCAGGGTCTTCGCTCCGCAGAGTGTTTCCTGTCTAATGCCTGGCAGAGGCCGGGAGCTCAGGAAGTCACTACCACATGAATGGCCTTGGCATTTCCTGGCTGCATGGCCAGCGCTCGATAAACATTAACTCTTTCCTTTTACATATTTGGAAAGTGAGCCCACATCAGCATCTCCACCCTTGTTCTCTTCCAGGCCACTGTCAAGATGGAGTTTCCAGCCCAGTGAAAGCAAGGACCAGCCCGTGACCCCATAAAGGTACCGCCCCTCAGGCACATGTCCCTGAAGCCCAGTTCCCCACCACAGCCCGTGCTGCTGTGGCACGCCCCTGCCCCACTGCTGCTGGCAGACTCCCTCCTAGGAGAAGCGTTACTGTGCTCGCCCGCTTTAGAGCTCGCTCCTTCCCGAAGCCCATCTTCACCCAGGGCAGCGGCCCCTGTAGAAAATCTACTTAAGATGCCTAGAGATTTCCAAACCAGCTTTTTGTTTACATTTGAAATCAAGCAGAGTCCTGGAGTATCGCTAGTCAGGCTGGGCTAGGCTGTGCCACGGTAACAAACAGCCTCCAGATCGCAGTACCGTGCCACAACCCCAAGTTCTTTCTGACTGATTCAGTCTGGATGACTCTCGATCCAGCATTGATCTTACATGTCCAGGATCGACAGCTAAGCTCCAGATTTGTCACAGCCTGAAGGAAGAAAGGGAAAGAGGCATTGAGTCCTCTGTCTGGACAAAAACGCTCCCAACTGTTTATACCTTTGAGAAGTCAGGGATGTCCTTTTTCAAAAAATTTGTTTTGAGGCCAGGTCTCACTATGCAGTTCATGCTGACCTTGAAACTCTGTAGTCCAGCTAGCCTCGAACTCCCTGTGGTCCCTCCGCCTCAGCCTCCGCGACCCTGGCGACGCCTTCCCAGAGCTTACTCTGGGGTGAACGGTTTTGTGCCCCACCTCTCCTTGACCTCAGGCATCCCACAGGCTCTCTGAGTTCTGCTGCTTCGTTTGGGATTCGTTCTGCTTTGTACCCGGGCTCTTAGGCGCAGGTGGTTGGAGCCTCAGTGCAGTGAGCTGGGACTCGCTTCAGAAGGGGCCACACTGGGGCGTGTGTTCAGGCAGTGCTGGCTTCTGTCCCTTTAACAGCTCGTCCTCATGGGGAACTTGGCGGGCTGATTCAGTTTTTCTTTCAGCTAGATTCAGTTTTTCTTTCAGCTTCCTGTATCTCCTTTATTTCCGTTTTATAGCATGATCTCCTTCTGTCCAGAGTGTGGCAAAAATATCGAAGCAGCTTTTAAATTCTGCCCCTACTGCGGGAAACCTTTGCCTACAGAGGAGCCCGCAAAGTCCCCGACCTGTGGCAGACAGCTTGTGTCGTCCTTCCGAGGTAAGAACTGGCAAGACAGTTGGGGCTGGGGGCCAGAGAAACTCCTGGCCTCGGGGGGAGCTGTGGAGGCTTCTCCCGAGAGGTGGCACAGTACGGTTTGTGTTTTCAGAGGCCGGCTGGCTGTGTGTATGTGAAATGGCCCAGAGTTGGCAGGCGGTCCCAGTGCTTCAGGGGCCGGTCATGCTGGCGGCGTTAGTGACAGCTGAAAGGATAAGACTGTGTCTTTGTCACCTCACAGAGCCGTCAGGAAACAAGGCAACTGAAACAACAAACTACAGAATTACACTGCCAAGACCACAGACAGCATTAACGGATGCAAATATTCACAAAGCATATCGATATGATAATGAAGTAGCAAAAATTGCCAATAAAATGAAGTGAGCTAATATTAACCAGGCAGAAATCTTGGAAACAACCAAGATGCCCATCACCTGAGGAATGGTTGAGAAAGATGTGGTACTTTTACACAATGGAATATTATTCAGCTATTAAGAA